CTGCAATTCAATTGCATTGTTGCCGTCACTTCTTGGCAGTCTTATATACAAGAATACTGCACATCTAGTAAACACTCGGGCATTCATGAACCTTCAAGAATATCATAATGTGTTACTAGCGTCACGTGACTTTCACTGTTGTAACAATATATAGTTTTGAAGGGTCTTTTTTTTAGTTTTGCAAATACTATCAATTGATTTTTGGGGACATTTGTTTTGATAGGGTATTTTTGGTAATGTTCTACAATTTTATTTAATTGTGTTTGTATATTTGTTGCTGCTATTGAAGAAGTAGGAGCACTTTTCCAGACCTAGATTTGGATCCTTAAGGGGCATATTACTTACATACATCATGAATAAGATAGGGCTATCTACCCCTCCTTGAAGTACGCCTGCCTCTGGAGTAAATAATTCCAAGAAGATTCCCCCAACAATTATTTTACATTTTATGTTCTTCAGAAGGTTTGATCATCAGTGAATAGTACCGCTCAGCACTTCCATTTCTTAAATATGGAACCGTAGACCAATGTGCCATATCATGTCGAATACATTCTCAATATCGAGAAAGCATGCGACAGTGCATTCATTCTTATTAAAGCTATCTATGATTGATTCTGTTAGACGAACTAAGTAGTCTGTAGTCTGTCTAACTTTTCTAAATCCATTTTGGATTTCAGGTAATTTTGAAGTAATCTCCAAGAATGTGGAGAGTTGGTTACTGATTATTCTTCCTGAAATTTTACCTACATAGCTGGTCAGGCTGATCGAGAGGTAGCTGTTTGGTTTATTTGCTGGCTTTCCTTCTTTGTGGAACATTAATACAATCGCTCGGTTCCAAGAAACTAGGATGTATCTAGAGTTTAATGAAAGGTTAAAAAGGACTGTTAGGTGTTCAAACAATCTCCAAGTGCCTTTTTTGAGGAGGACAGCCTGAATGCCATATTCTTCTGGAGCTTTGATTTTTGTTACTTTAATTGCTTGTTTATCTTCTGTTTCCGTTATGGTTTTTGTCATCTGATATATTGCAGAATTTTCGTTTGTATCATCATTTGTTTGGTCATTGTGTATGTTAGGAGGGAATAGTGGTGCTTACAGATTTGTGTTACAGAGTTGTTCAACTCATTAAAGAAATGTATATTCATGTCTGGTTCATAGTGTGTCCAGGACGTATTTTGTAGGTGTTCTTTAAATGTTTCAGATTTTTCAAAGTTTGTGTGTTCTAAAGTGTTATGTGTTTCTTGAGGTGGGTAATTTCGGATTGAGTTTTCTGTATTTGTGAATCGTTTTAAATGTGTCCAGAATTGTTATGGGTCAGTTGTTTCATATAACTGTGGGCAAAGTTGATTCCAGTTATATATTTTTAGTTCTTGAACATCTTTCCGAATTTTCTTTCTGAGTGTATATTTGTAAGATCTCTATTTTGCATATATTGTCTGCTTAGCTTTCATCTTTCTTTAATTATTGTTATTAGTTGTGTGGGTGGTTGCCATATGTGTGTATAGTCTTGATTGGATATTGTTACGACAGCGGAGGTCACGTGACGAGTATTCTAAAAGATTCGCTAGTGTGTTATGACAGTGGGGTCACGTGACGAATATTCTAGAAGATTCGCTAGTGTGTTGCGACAGCGGGAGTCAATTGACGCTGGTAGCACGTGTTGAGAGTCTTAGAAGTTTCTAAAACAGGCAGTATTATTGTATATAAGTGCGCTAGACAGTGAGAGAGACAGACGGAGTCGAAGCAGTAGTGGAGACAGAGACACTGGCAGAGATGTAGCAGAGACGAAGCAGGCAGAGAGAAAGAAAGACAGCGATTACGGTCGGCGGGAACTGAGGATAGCAAACACAGATATCGGAACTATAGTTTGCGGGGACGGACAATTAAGTCTAAGCGCGATAGAAAGTGAGAGAATTGTTGTGAACTATACTGTGTGTAACTGTGAAAATTAAGTATATTACAAAGTTGTATTGAGGAAGAATAAACAAGTTTTATAAAGAAAGAACTTGTATCTTAGAAGAATTAACAAACAAACATACAGAGACGTAACAAATTGATGTCAGAAAGTGGGATAAAAAAAATGAAAACGAGAAGTGGCAAATCAAACTACAGCCTTGCAGACTTGATGGCAGCAATACAAGAACATCAAAAGAAACAAGAAGAACGAGAAGAGAAATTACAGCAGTTGTTGGGGGAAAAAGAAAAGAAACAAGTAGAACGAGAAAATAAACAAGAAGAGAGACAACAACAGTGGCAAGAAAATCTGCAACAATGGCAGCTCGAACAACAAAATAAACAAGAGAGATTACAGCAGTTGTTGGAGGAAAAAGAAAAGAAACGAGAAGAGAGACAACAGCAGTTGCAAGAAAACGTGCAACAGTGGCAGCTCGAACAGCAAAATAAACAATTAAGCATCGACTTAATCAGCCCCAGACAATGGCAAGCCCCTTCC